GAAAAATCAAAAACACTTTTCTTCAAGACTCGGAAAGTGACGAACCAAAGGCAAATAAGATTGTTATCATGCAGCTGCAAAAGAAGAAAAATGGGGGCAGGGTTTACAGCAAGAGACACTTCTGCCTCTACTGTTCAATGTCCTGCCACAAAATGTCCCGTCATTTGACTAGAAAACATGGAAATGAAAGTGACGTAGCCAGAGCATTGGCTCTACCTGTGAAGTCTAAAGCACGTAAACTTCAGTTTGATTTGATCAGGAATAGTGGAAACCGTGAGCACAATTTTGAGGTTTTAAAGGCCGGCATTGGAACTTTAGTCCCAGCTAAACAGCCAAATTCCCCAGTTAAATCCAGTGAGTTTTTGCACTGTATAGACTGTGGGGCATTGCTTAAGCGAAAGTCGCTGTGGAGGCATGTGGCCAGGTGCCGGCTTTCACAGAAAGATGCCCAGGCTAAACCAGGTAGAAGTAGGGTCCAGTCCCTCTGCTCCCTAGCCCAGCCTGTACCGGAGGGCATCAGCAAAAAGCTGTGGTCTTTAATTTCGGCAATGCATCAGGATGAGGTCACGGGTGTTGTCAAAGCAGAAAAGGGGATTCTGAGACTCGGAGAGCACCTGTACTTAAAACACGGGCATGATAAGACTAAGCATGATTACATTAGGCAGAAAATGAGAGAAGTCGGTAGGTTAATTAACGAAGCAAAAACCGCAGGGAAACTGAAAACAATTAAGGATTTCTTTATTCCTTCCAACTTTAACCATGTGATTGATGCAGTCAGGTCTGTGGCTGGATATGATGAGGAAACAAATCAATACAAGACTCCATCCTTGGCCCTCAAACTCGGCCATAGCCTCAGAAAGCTAGCAGATATTCTTGAATGTGACTCAAAAATGGAGCATTGTGTTGATGAACTATTTATTGAAAACCTCCAACGAAGCCGGCTGCTTTTTGAGAAGAGGTGGGACGTCTGTGTTTCTTCTGCTGCCCTACAGACCCTCCGGCAAGCCAAGTGGAACACTCCGGACCTGCTCCCTCTGACTGAGGACGTTAGAGCCATGCATGCACATATTGAGGTATGTCGACCTGAATATGTGCAAACCCTAATAAGTGAGCCAACGTCTAAGCATTGGTCTAAACTGGCAGTTTTGACTCTTTGTGAGGTCATCATTTTCAATCGAAGAAGGGAAGGTGAGGTTTCAAAGATGCCACTGACAGCCTTTACCTTAAGAAGTAAGACTGGGATCCATTCTGACATTGCTCTGGGACTGTCCCAACTTGAGAAAAAGCTGTGTCAGCATTTTCAACGCATTGAAATTAAAGGGAAAAGAAGTCGGAAAGTGCCGGTTCTTTTGACTCCTGAAATGATTGCTTCAATGGAGGTGCTGGTGGAGAACAGAAGGGCCTGTTCCATCTCTGACCATAACCCATACTTCTTTTCCCGCCCGGGCGCAGACACCCACATCAGGGGATCAGACTCCCTACGCCAGGTAGCCAAAGAATGTGGTGCGGTGCATCCAGAGATGCTATCCTCAACCAAACTTAGAAAGCACATAGCTACTATGTCTACAGTTCTCAATATGAAAGAGAATGAGATGGACATACTTGCAAACTTCCTCGGCCATGACATTCGCATCCACAGGCAATATTACAGACTACCAGAGGGGACACTGGAGCTGGCCAAAATCAGCAAAGTGTTGATGGCCATGGAGCAGGGAAGAGTGACGGAATTCGAAGGAAAGAGCCTCGACCAGATACAAATTGAGCCTGAAGGTAATTCTTGATATTATTAAAATATGTATGATTTTTTTCCCCTAAAGGCCACTTGTATTTTTATTTTCTGTGCGACAGGGAGAGCAGTAGAGATCCTCTCACAAACGGACGGGCTAAAAGAAACTTCAAGCGGAGAACCTTCAACCATTCATCCAGATGCACCCCATGGTAGTGGCAGTGCCCCTTCTGGTAAGTGTACCAGGTGGGGGATTACAGCCAGGCTGCTTGGTCCTAACCCTGGGAGTGTATATTGCTAATATATTTTTATTTCTCTCCCTAGAACGTGTAAGAAAGCCATGGTCTGCATCTGAGGTGAAGGCTGTGGAGAAGACCATGACACCTTTCATACAGACTGGAAAGGTCCCTGGGAAGTCTCACTGCCTGGCCTGCATTAATGCCTCACCAGATGACCTTAGACATCGGACATAGAGTGGCATTAAATTCTATGTCAAAAATAGAATCACTGCAATTCGAAAACAAAATCTAAAATAAAATTCCTTTAAAATAGTTGTTTGGTTTCTATTGACTGTTTTGTATTACTTAAAGTAGTCCCAGTAAAAAAAAGATTATGTCTATGGGTCCCATTCTGAACGGCCCTGTCAAAGGGACCCACCAGGTAACAAAAACGTGTATGTGTGGGTGTGCAGAAAGTGTTTTGAGAAAAAAACCTAAGTGTTTAGGCTGTAGGACCAGGCACACGTTGAAAATCAGACTAAGTGTTTTGAGAAAAAACCTAAGTGTTTAGGCTGTAGGACCAGGCACACGTTGAAAATCAGACTAAGTGTTTTGAAAAAAAACCTAAGTGTTTAGGCTGTAGGACCAGGCACACTTCAAAAATCAGACTAATGGTGCGTTCAGACCAAACGCGATTTCTGCGGCCAAAGCGGCGGGTCTACATTGACACAACATGGGGGACGCGCGCCAAGGAGCGGCGAGAGATCACGCGGCGCGATTCGCGCGGCCAGAGCGGCGCGAATTCGAGCGTTTCGCGCGATTCGCGCGGCGTGTTTTGAGATGTCAAGCGTTTTGACGCGCGTTTCGCGCGATTCGTGCCTCCAACGCGGCCGCCGCTAGAGTTGAACAATGTTGAACTTTTTGGGAGAATTCGCGTGTGCCGACCAATCAGGAGCTTTCTCCTCCAGTGACGTAGTGACGCATTTCACTACCGGAAAAACACTGGTAGATGACAGCTATGGAGGACACGTCAATTGCTCAGGTCGGTGCTCATTCTGAGCTATATAACACTGCGGACCACAGCTACCGGGACCGAAATAAAAAGGAGCTTGCTTGGAGGAGGGTTAGCGAGGTGGTTGGTGTCTCGGGTAAGTTATTTTAACTTTTCAATGTTGTAAATATTTCCCCGCGAAAAAAACTACTACTTTCCTGCTTACGAGTTGATGTGTTTATTCAGTGGAAGTTTGCAAAAAGCGGTGGAAGAATCTGAGGGACACATATGAGGTGCTGAAGGTCGGTGTCATGCAGCAAACGGAGACCTCGAACAGTTGGAAAAAATACATTTCTTTCCTTTCTATTACCCACATTTTGCTGACTTTTACATTTATATTGCTTTCTGTGTATGCATTTCTTTTAATGCTTTCTTAACATCATGGCCAGGTGAAAATCGGCATTGGCTATTTTCAAACCAGGATAGATCTTGATCATGTGTTGTGTTAAATTTCACTTTTCCCTTTTATATGAACAAATCATTTAAATGTACATAATAATGTACATTATTATGTACATATAAATGTCATAAGCGCAATGTACACATGATATGAAATAATTGTATTTCTTGTTTTCTTCTGGCGCAGATACTGCCACCACCACACAAGGTGAGACATCTTGGCCTGAGCTGCCTGCTGCTGCTGCTGCTGCTGCTTCCTCAGCCGGTTCTTCTTCTGTGAGGGCTGGACCTTCCCCTGCTTCTGCACCTACAGGTGTGGCTTTTTTTAATCATTGTTTTATTTTTATTCTTATTACAGGACTGTTCATATAAACAAAATGTTACTGCATAATATGCCAAAATTACCCAAGGGCTGTTACATCAGTGTAGACGACAAATTTACAGAGAAACGACAAGATGTCAAGGCACTACAGGTGGAAAGAAGCTTTGGTCTGATACAACACATCTTCCCTCTTTCTTTGATAAAAACATACTACTGAAATACCTTATGCTATAAAAGTACTGAACAAATACATGCAATGGTTGCCACAAGATGGCAGCTATCCTGTTTAATGCAGACAATAGAGTATTACTTTTTTACAGCCAATTTCAAATTTCATTGCGAAATACACTTCAGAGATATTAGTTTGTAACTGTCGAAATTTGTGCATGTGTGAGTAATTTCATTGATAACTGCAATGTTCAAGTTAATTGTAACAAACACACAACTTAAAAGTGTTTTACATGTGTTTAACTATGTCTACACACTCTGGCTTTAATACAGATATTATTTGCTCTCTTCATTTTGCTTTTTTGAAATACATGTTCCACTTTTTAACACTGTGATTGCCCTGTGTTCTTTGTTGGCGGCTCTACGGACGTGGGCCTCTTCCGAGCCCTCTTCCTTGGTGGGCCTTCAGAGTGGGAGCGGGAGCTGCTGGAGACTCTACGGACCAAAGCAGCCGGACCGCCCGACTACTCAGAAGAACATCAGTTCCTGCTCTCTTCTTTCCTCTCCTGCAAAGGGTGGCACCAGAGTCAAAAGAATTTGTGAAATTCAAAATGTACCAACTTTTATATGAAAGCAGCACCGTTCTGCTTAATTTGGAACCATTGGCCAGTACAGTTTTTTTTACCTAAGGTGACACCTTTTGCAGGGGAGGAAACAGACATGTGTCCCTTTCCTCTTCCACCGCACCTCCTCCAAGCAAGCTCCTTTTCATTTGTTTATATGTACATTTCATTTATTTTTCATTGTTTGTTACTTTTTTTATAAAGAAAATATTTTTCAAACCTCATGTGTTCTACTTCAAGCCAACCATTACTACCTTTCATATAATATTGACAGAAAATGCTATTCTATATTTGTACATTTACTTTTATAAGAGCTGACTGGGTTTTATAGAAGATGGAATAACAAACACTTAAAGAGCGATACAGTAGTTGACAGTATTTTTTATTCATTTCACCTTTTACTGTTTTAACAACCTTGTAATTATGGAAAAGCTTGAATGTGCATATGATTAACCTGAAGTTGGAGTGGAGTCGCAGTGGAGTCTGGCAGTCATTACCTAGAAACAGAAGGTATACAGGTGAATAGAATAGTGCAAATCAATATGGGTTTGGACTATGGCCAGATGTGGGTCAGTCTTGTGGTGGACATGACTACTCTGTGGGCTGCCACGGCAGTGCTCCCTCCTCACTGAAGTGGGCCATGAACACTTTCCTTATGTCCACTGCTGGCTTCCAGGCGGCCATCCGCTGCACGCCTGGAAGTGGTTCTTCACCGGCAGCAGCTCCCCTCGGTGCAGGAACCTGCCCATCTCCAGCCATCCTCATCCTCATCCTGGAGATGGGCAGGGCGCATTAAATTGCAGCGCAGTGAAAAGGCCTCATCTGCCACGAACACATGGGGCTGGGGTCCTCTGTGGTCAGCTCCAGGTATGCACTGGTCAGGAGGCAGGTCGAGTGTGCCCTCGCGCAGAGCCTCACCAAAGGCAGAGTTGGACACGATGCCTCCATCGCTGGATCTGCCGTACCCTCCCACATCAATCACCCTGAACCTGTACTGGGCATCCACTACAGCCAGGAGCACAAGGGAATGGTGCCCCTTATAATTAAAAAACATGGACCCAGAGTTGGGGGGTGCCTTCACAGCCACATGCTTCCCATCAATGGCCCCACAGCACAGAGGGAAGTTCCATCGGACCTCCACTCCTCTGCTCCAGGCACAGCCATGAACTCCTCCACGAGGCAGTCCCAGATGGCTGCCACCACATCTGGGATGAGCATGGAGACGGTGGATATGCCCGCTCTGAAGCTCCCCGCAATGGTCCTGTAGGAGTCCCCAGTGGCAAGAAACCTGCAATTACAAAATGATATGAACATATTTATCACAATTACATTCATAAAAATCACGTGACAAAACTTGTGTAGCATAAAATACGTTAAACTAGTAGACAGTAAACATCATAGACAGTAATCATAGACACCATATTGTTGCATAATACTGTTTTCTGAGCAATTACATTGTGGATTGTGATTGAAAAATGACACACTTTGTAAGTATTTATGAATTCTGAATGGGGTAAAAAACACTAACCGCAGACAGATGGACAGGCCTGGTGTCCTGGTAGGTGATCCTAGCGCCAATGCGGGTCAGTAGGTCGTCAAACTGGGCCAGGGAGAGACGAAAGTACCGCTGAAAGCGACCCTCATCCGAGCGCAGCTCCCGGAGCAAATGGTGAAACTCACCAAACTCCAACCGTCTACGGACTATCTGATGAATCCAGACACGTCGTCGATTCGCCCTTTGACGACGTGTCTGGCTTTATTTATCAGATAAAGCAACTCCTTCGCTGACATCCATTTTGGGAAGCTACAGGCAAAAGAGACAAGCCCCGCCCCTAGACGCTCTCAACGCTCTGTGACAGCGGCTGCCCTCTAGTGTCCTGGCCGCGCGGCCAAGTTTCTCTGTGACAGCGGCTGCCACAATTTGTCACAAGCGGCTCAAGCCGCGCAATAGACGCGATTTGGCCGCAGAAATCGCGTTTGGTCTGAACGCACCATCAGTGTCTAGACTGTAGGACCAGGCACACGTTGAAAATCAGACTAAGTGTTTTGAGAAAAAAACCTAAGTGTTTAGGCTTTGAGGAGCCCGGAAAGCGGGGCTTACTTCCCCCGGGAATGAGCACCCAGGCCTGGATCTGAGCGGGAGCAAAGCCCACCCCGGTGGTAGCCCAGGTCCGGACGAGTGCGTGGATCCAAACCCCATGTCTCTAGCCCCCCTGGTTCGCCTTCTACGGGCCCGGGAAACCCCCCTTTTCTTGACCGAGAATAGGTGCTCGTGAGCGGACGCGGCCGCGCTGTCCCCCGGTGGTTTCCAAGGGTCATAACTTTCTGGTCCTTTGTCCCCCGCGCGTCAAATTCACACCGCGGGTAGCCCGGGACCAGGGGAGTCCCTGGGTCCAGACCGCGAGTCTCTGGGTCTCTGCGTTGATTTTTAACGAATTTCTGGAGATTCTGTATTCCCAGGCACACACGCCTTTGGAGCAAAATATGACGAAGTGTCTTGTGAATTTAAGCCCCTTTTACGCAGGCCGTAACTTTTTGGTCTTTCCTTTCCCATGAGTGAAATTCACGGAGGATGTAGCCCAGGTCCGGAGGAGTGCGTGGGTCCAAGCCCCATGTCTTTAGCCCCCCTGGTTCGCCTTCTACGGGCCCGAGAAACCGCCACTTTCTTGACCGAGAATAGGCGCTCGTGAGCGGACACGGCCGTGCTGTCCACCGGTGGTTTCCAAGGGCCATAACTTTCTGGTCCTTTGTCCCCCGCGCGTCAAATTCACACCGCGGGTACCCCTGGACCAGGGGAGTCCCTGGGTCCAGACCGCGAGTCTCTGGGCCTCTGCGTCTGATACTGTATTTTTAACCAATTTCTGAAAGATTCTGTATTCCCAAGCATTTACAGCTATAACTAAGAAACACAGCTACTACTTATTTTGTATATACAGTATTGTGTGCTCTTACTACTGTCCTGTCTGTGCGCTGCAACATTGACATTTCTCCACAGTGGGACGAAAAGAATCTATCATCTTATCTTATGAAATATACTACAATGTTATGACTTGTCTTGAACCTCACCCCCCCTCACCCCCTCACCCTCCTCTCCTCTCGCTCTCCCACAGAAGACACCTGCTCCTTGCACACTCGCCCACCGGCACCCATGGGCTCCTCCTGCTCACCCAAATCTGTAATCCACCTAATCTGTCGTCATCTCTGAGGCTGTGTCACCACCACAAGTGTCCACACCCCTGACCCTGTCTACAGCCCCGTGGCCCTGCCCCAGCTAGACTCCCCTCTCCCCCTCTGTCTCCCCCTCTGTCTCCCTCAGCCTGGGGGAGCTCCCTGTGTCTCCGGCTGAAAAAGTGTAAAATATAAGTCTTCTGTGACACCGCCATGTTGACCTGAGACAGAAACAAACGTAAATATCAACAGCTGAAGCCCGCGGCGCTCTGCACAAAGGCTCATAACCGTTACTGTAGACTGGAAGTGAAGCCAGAACCTGCGTGGCTGTGTTTTTGTGACACTGCGTTCACACTTAGGTGATAATGCAGCTGACAGTGGAGCCCTGTTCTCCTCCTGTCTGTGCCTCCCTCATTCACCTTCTCACTGTCTGTGCCTCCCTCATTCACCTTCTCACTGTCTGTGCCTCCCTCATTCACCTTCTCACTGTCTGTGCCTCCCTCATTCACCTTCTCACTGTCTGTGCCTCCCTCATTCACCTTCTCACTGTCTGTGCCTCCCTCATTCACCTTCTCACTGTCTGTGCCTCCCTCATTCACCTTCTCACTGTCTGTGCCTCCCTCATTCACCTTCTCACTGTCTGTGCCTCCCTCATTCACCTTCTCACTGTCTGTGCCTCCCTCATTCACCTTCTCACTGTCTGTGCCTCCCTCATTCACCTTCTCACTGTCTGTGCCTCCCTCATTCACCTTCTCACTGTCTGTGCCTCCCTCATTCACCTTCTCACTGTCTGTGCCTCCCTCATTCACCTTCTCACTGTCTGTGCCTCCCTCATTCACCTTTTCACTGTCTGTTCACCGTCTTATACCTCTACCAAAATATTTGTTAATAGCAGTAATGTTTGAGCAGGATTGCATTTCTCTTTACAGGCAAAAAAGACTACTTTCTTCTTCAATTGTTATGTTAATATTTAGCAGTGTGAGTTGCCTTGAGTGTGAACAAATACTATATAAATAAACACACCTCGCCTAATTACCTCCACCTCTGACTCTGAGCACTATCATTTCAACTCAGACTGAGGCCCAGTTTATACGGAGACGCTGCAGCAGAAAACCGCTATAGTTGGTGTCGGTTGCTGCCCCCCGTTCATACAGAAACTGTCTTTCAGGTGAAAACGTAAGAGTTCAGATCCAGCCTCAGAGTGGGACAGCTCAGGTGCTCAGCAGGGGGCGCTCTTTCACACCCGCGTAAGGAAAAAGGTGTACATTCTTTGCCTGATCTGACCCCACCTCCCGCTGCTCCCCGCACGTACATTTGAACATGCGCAGTAGAAAAAACGTAAACAACAATGGCAGCGGGTAGCTAACTAGCTACGTGTGCTTTGAGCGCTAACGGAGGAGGATTCTACTCCTTCGTTCGTCCAAACGAGACCACGCAAAGCTCTAGGTTCAGTTTCCATTTTCGCAGGTGCTGTTAAAGAATGATGTTGGTTCTTCCACGTCTTGCAGAGGAAGTGAGTACATTGCTGGGGAGGGCTGGGGCTCGCCTGTGTAGTGTTGTAAAGTTCCTCTGCCCCCTACTGGCCGGGCGCTAGAACTACATCGTTTTTGATCCTCGTATGAACGCCGTTACATTTGCATTTGGAGCCTGGTCGTTTCTGTTCATAGCAACGTCTGCGCAGCGTCTCAGTATAAACAGGGCCTGAGACCAACCAACCACGTTCATGGATAAAGTACTATTCAATTCTTGCAGTGCTTCAAAAAGACATAAAATCATGAAACTTTGACGTGAAACAATCGTAAAATAAAAAAAACACTCAATGTGAGAAACAAAACTCACAGATAAATAGACCGGTTTTCAGCCTAAATGTCCTGCTTTTTGCTCTGCTTTGGTCTGGTCTGTTTCTAACATAAAAACAGCCTGTAAACATAAGAAAAGGTTTAGAATTTAAATTGTATGTAAATATCTGTCTCTATATTTGTCACTGTTGTGTCGTACTTGTGATGTGCTGTCAATGACAAATATCCTTCTATTCAATATTTTATCTGGATTTATTTTTATTTTATCATTCAAAATAGACAAAAGGTTTAACTAAATGAAAACAAACATGAAAAATATACTAAGAAATACAGAAATATATATTTTTAAGGGGGGGCGACAGTGGCTCAGTTGGTAGAGCATTGGCCTAGAAACCGAAGGTCGTGGGTTTGAGCCCAGCACAAGACCCACTTCACGACTCCAACTGATGTCTGCTGTCGTTGTGTCCTTGGGCAAGACACTCAACCCCACTTTTCCTGAAGCTCCCACTGAAAGATCTCAGCTCCTGTGGACTCAGCACCTGCAGGAGGATCAGTGAGGGGCTGGTGCTCTGACTGCCACCCCCGACCCAGAAATGGATTGAGGGGAAGAAACTGGATGGATGGAGAATGTCTCTGACCATTGCAGAACCTGTCCTTGGAGAATCTTTCATGAGGAACAGTGTCAGATACGTCTTAAATCAAATACTTTGGGTCGAGGCTTTTATTGTGTCCAGCTGCACCTTTGTCCATCCAGTAATAAAACTATGACTTTAAATTAACCATAATTTCTTTGTAAATGTTTAAGGTAAGATCAACTTTATTGATCTCTGATGGAGAAATGTACACGTCACAGTTGGCACAGATAGAATCACTTTGTGCAAGACAGAAGTGTGAAACGTTAAAGTTAAAAATATAGTCTGTTCAGGATATTATTATGTACAATAACAAAGTGGCAATAGACCATTCATTTTCATGTATTCATTGATTTCAGGAAATGGCACAGGTGAGTAAGCAAGGTAATGCAGTTAAATCATATAAATCATATCTTGCAAAAAACAGACAAAACACACAATAAATAAAAAACAGTATAAACAATGAATGTATAAACAATAAATGTACGGTATAAACATGGCCGTATAATTCTGCCTGAAATGGAGTGGGAAGAAGAAAAACGTATTTAATCCCACCCCTTTATCCCCATTCAGAGATTAAATGATCAACTTCACTAAATGAAATGATAGAGTAGTTTCTTTCTTGTCAATGTTATACTATCAGCATTAGCTATTTGGCCTACGTGCCCGATTGTTTGTGATTATTGTGTATTCTGTATAAAACTGTCATCATTGGTGTCTTCTCCTGTGTCCATAGCGGCCCCTCCCCCCTCCTCCCTCCCTCCCTCCCTCCCTCTGTGTGATCCCATCAATGACAATATCCCAATATCCCTGTAACGTGGCCTTTGTCTTGGCCCCGGCGTCGTGGTTTGTCAGGACGTATCTCCTGCTCGTGTCTGAGGACGGAGCGGAGCGTGCGAGGTGCTGTGTGACAATCTGGGCTCACTTCTCAGGCAGCTAAACCCTTTGACACTGTGCTTTTTAATTAAAATTACATTATGATTAATCAGGCATAAGGAGTGCCCCCTCCCCGCCCCCCTCCGGCCCCCCGCCTCCCCCCGTGCCCTCTTCCCTCCAGCTCTGCTTTTCAGGCAGGTTTGATTACAACCTGTGACGGACACCGCTCTGTGCCAAAGCGCTAAAGATGTGCTGGCAGCTGTGGCGGCCCGGACAGCCTGCAGCGCCCCGGGGTCCCACAGCCGAGGGGGAGAGGGGGGAGACAGAGAGGAGAGAGGGGGGAGACAGAGAGGAGAGAGGCGGGAGACAGAGGAGAGAGGGGGGAGACAGAGAGGAGAGAGGGGGGAGACAGAGGAGAGAGGGGGGAGACAGAGATGAGAGAGGCGGGAGACAGAGATGAGAGAGGGGGGAGACAGAGAGGAGAGAGGGGGGAGACAGAGAGGAGAGAGGCGGGAGACAGAGGAGAGAGGGGGGAGACAGAGAGGGGGGAGACAGAGAGGAGAGAGGGGGGAGACAGAGAGGAGAGGGGGGAGACAGAGAGGAGAGGGGGGAGACAGAGAGGAGAGGGGGGAGATAGAGAGGAGAGAGGGGGGAGACAGAGAGGAGAGAGGCGGGAGACAGGAGAGAGGAGAGAGAAGAGAGGCGGGAGACAGAGAGGAGAGAGGAGAGAGGCGGGAGACAGAGAGGAGAGAGGCGGGAGACAAAGAGGAGTGGAGAGGGGAGATAGAGAGGAGAGAGGGGGGAGACAGAGAGGAGAGAGGAGAGAGGCGGGAGACAGAGAGGAGAGAGGCGGGAGACAAAGAGGAGTGGAGAGGGGAGATAGAGAGGAGAGAGGGGGGAGACCGAGAGGAGAGAGGGGGGAGACAGAGAGGAGAGAGGCGGGAGACAGAGAGGAGAGAGGAGAGAGGCGGGAGACAGAGGAGAGAGGGGGGAGATAGAGAGGAGAGAGGGGGGGAGACCGAGAGGAGGGGGGGAGACAGAGAGGAGAGAGGAGAGAGGCGGGAGACAGAGGAGAGAGGGGGGAGACAGAGAGGAGAGAGGCGGGAGACAGAGAGGAGTGGAGAGGGGAGATAGAGAGGAGAGAGGCGGGAGACAGAGGAGAGAGGGGGGAGAGAGAGAGGAGAGAGGCGGGAGACAGAGAGGAGAGAGGCGGGAGACAGAGAGGAGAGAGGGGGGAGACAGAGAGGAGAGAGGAGAGGGGAGATAGAGAGGAGAGAGGGGGGAGACCGAGAGGAGAGAGGGGGGAGACCGAGAGGAGGGGGGAGACAGAGAGGAGAGAGGAGAGAGGCGGGAGACAGAGGAGAGAGGGGGGAGATAGAGAGGAGAGAGGCGGGAGACAGAGGAGAGAGGGGGGAGACAGAGAGGAGAGAGGCGGGAGACAGAGAGGAGTGGAGAGGGGAGATAGAGAGGAGAGAGGGGGGAGACAGAGAGGTGTGGAGAGGGGAGACAGAAAGGAGAGAGGAGAGCGGTGGGAGACAGAGAAGAGAGGGGGGAGACAGAGATGAGAGAGGGGAGAGATGGGAGACAGAGAGGAGAGAGAAGGGAGACAGAGAGAAGAGAGGAGAGAGGGGAGAGATGGGAGACAGAGAGGAGAGAGAAGGGAGAAAGAGAGAAAAGAGGATAGAGGTGAGAGGCAGGACACAGAGATGAGTGAGAGAGAGAGGACAGACGAGAGAAGAGAGAGAATAGAGGGGGAGATAGAGATGACAGAGGAGAGAGAAGAGAGACAGAGAGGAGAGAGAGAGGAGAGAGACAAAGAGGACAGTCCGAGATTAAATGATCAACTTCACTAAATGAAATGATAGAGTGGCAGTTTCTTTCTTGTCAATGTTATACTATCAGCATTAGCTATTTGGCCTACGTGCCCGATTGTTTGTGATTATTGTGTATTCTGGGGGGAGACAGAGAGGAGAGACAGACACACCGACGGACAGCTGCCTTAGCAACCAAATTAGCGGAACACAAAGCGGAAGTAATGCCCATATTAGGAAATTGACTTCAGCTGCTTATGTTCAAATCGGCCTCTTCTGCATCAGACCTCAGTGAATCCACTCCTGACCCACACTTCAACTAATTCTACACATCCATTTGATTAAATAAAGCCATACACAAAAAATAGTCTGAATCTGACTTAATTTATTAGTTTTGATTGTAGATTTTTCTTCATGTTTTATTAAAATGGCTGTCTCTCTGCACAGACACCAGAGACACACAACCATCAAGAGTCATCAAGAGCAGTGAGAGTCAGTGCAGCGGACATACAACATGATATTGATCTGCAGCTCAGCCCCACAGACAGAGGAGGAGACGGGGGAGACGGGGGGAGAGAAGGGGGGAGGCCTGGGTCTTTGTACACGCCTCAGTCACTGTCGCAGGTGAAGGGTTAGGGCCAGACCTGCAGCGCCCTGTGTTTGTGAAGTCAGGCTGAAGAAGTTGTGTCGGAAAACTATGTACAACAGCGAAGTAAAAGGGAATGCCGATAAAGTCTGTGTCAATGAGAAATCTCAACTGTGGGTTTGTGAAATATGGAAGATGAGCAGAAGAGGAGGCAGAGACGGAGGAGAGACCCGGCCACAAATATGAGCCGATGATGAACATAGGAGAGAAGAAGGAGAAAAGAAAAAGGTGGACACTGAACAACTTCAAAATAGATGAGATTGAGGGGAAAGATTTTCAAGATTAAAGCAATATGTAAGATTTTCATGTCAAGTCATCATGAAAGGGCCCTAATCTGTCATCATGAAAGGGCCCTAATCTGTCATCATGAAAGGGCCCTAATCTGTCATCATGAAAGGGCCCTAATCTGTCATCATGAAAGGGCCCTAATCTGTCGTCATTAAAGGTCCTAATCTGTCATCATTAAAGGGCCCTAATCTGTCATCATGAAAGGGCCCTAATCTGTCATCATGAAAGGGCCCTACTCTGTCATAATAATAAACTGCTCTTTTCCAATACTTCTTTAACTGATAACAATAGTTCAGAGATATTTGAATTTCTAAATTACTTTTCCAGCCTCTAAATCTTGTTATTGTTTTCATTTCGACGTCCCGCCCTCCACCGTTTCACCAATCAGAAAGTCTGTGATCCGGGCGCCAGAACTCACCGCGTGGAGCTAATCTCACTGGTAAAGTACCATGTGGAGCTAATCTCACTGGTAAAGTACCATGTGGCACAGAACTAAAAAAGATCTCGTTATGATTCTCAAATCATTTATGACAAAACAAGGAATAAAACCAGGATTTCTATCTTTGTGAAAAAGGTGTTGGTTATAGATTTGTTGTTGACAAAACTCTTGTCTATTCAGCTGTTATGGTCCCAGCTGGATTCGTCTGCATATCTGGCAACCTGAGTCAGGGAGAGTGGGAGAGGCTGCAGTACCACTTTTGGCCACATGTTTACACACTACTGTATGTATGTTGTTTTGGTGCAAATTTTCTGCAATGTAAGGACCAGAAATGATATTTTCTCAGCATATTTCTCCCTTATGTCGATATATCCCACAAGAAAAGTCCCTCAGTGCTCTTTCAGTTCACTTCTTCCCTCATCTTCTAAGCGGGTCATTTGTCACATATAAATATCCGTCCCTCTGCGTCTCTATCTGTAATGATGCAATATTCTTGTCCATAAAAGTGACCGGCTCAAACACCTCTGGAATAGGTCACATGACAGGTGCCATACAGCCTGCAATCAAACCCCTCCATCCTACAGCTTCTGCGAATCAAATGCCAAGAGTGTCGGGGTCCGTTAGCATCTATAGGCGCTGAGGTGAAATGCCTGTCAGTAATCACTTAAAGCAGCCATCGCCGTAACCACGAAAATATGAGAAATGTCAAAGCGATAGAAATGATCCCGGTTCTGTGGCTGTTTTCCGGAGCTGAAGCTGAGGTCCTGCGGTGGGAACGGTGGCGATGGTATTAAAAGACAGTAGGTGGTCCTCGCTGTCAGTGAAGAGCGGCAGCGTCACGTTAATTACAGTCCCCCATCAGCGCGACAGAGAATAAACACAAGCTCCAATGGTTACTGCAGTGGACACAACAAAGCTTGTGTAGAAAACAGATTAAAGTACACTGTTGTATTGTGTTGAATGGAAATGGATCTGAACAAGGGATAAAAACAACAGTGAGAAAATAACACAATGATATAAGACAACAACAAAGAAAAAAGAAAAACTGGTTTAGGAAGATTCCTCTTGTTTTCTTAGTTGATTTAAAAGTATTGGGTTCTTCTAAACCAGGCAATATAAGTAATAATCACAAAACAAACCTTATATTGTCTGGTATAAAAGAACCCAAAACTTTTACAATAAAAAAATGACAACAGTAACATTTATTATTATTATAAAATCTCACCTCTTCTCACTGTGTTAGTTCAATATATTATAATAAGTCACAAAACTAATATGAGAATGTGTTGATCCTGTTACGGTGAAAATACTATTCTAAAAATGTAGATTCATTTGAAAAGTTTTTACACAACTGGAATTTTGCGCCCCGGCCTGGGCCGGGACATGGTTTCTGAATTCTCAGGCCCAAAACCCGTATCAAGCCCGACTTTTTTTATTTATTTTAGCGTCGTAAATAGTGCTGCGCACTGATATGAGGCTACAGGGCGGAGGGATACATGGGAGTGATGTGTCACAATGAGTTCTGTGTGTACGGAGTGAACGGCTGCAGCTGTATGACACACAGCTGTATGATACACAGCTGTATGATACACAAATGTATGATACACAGATGTATGATACACGGCTGTATGACACACAGCTGTATGATACACAGATGTATGATACACAGCTGTATGACACACAGCTGTATGATACACAGATGTATGATACACGGCTGTATGACACACAGATGTATGATACACAGCTGTATGAGACACAGATGTATGATACACAGATGTATGATATACAGATGTATGATACACAGATGTATGACACACAGCTGTATGATACACAGCTGTATGATACACAGATGTATGATACACAGCTGTATGATATACAGATGTATGATACACGGCTGTATGACACACAGCTGTATGATACACAGATGTATGATACACAGCTGTATGAGACACAGATGTATGAGACACAGCTGTATGATACACAGATGTATGATACACGGCTGTATGACACACAGCTGTATGATACACAGATGTATGATACACAGCTGTATGAGACACAGATGTATGATACACAGCTGTATGATACACAGATGTATGATACACAGATGTATGATACACAGATGTATGATACACAGATGTATGATACACAGATGTATGACACACAGCTGTATGATACACAGATGTATGATACACGGCTGTATGACACACAGCTGTATGATACACAGATGTATGATACACAGCTGTATGAGACACAGATGTATGAGACACAGCTGTATGATACACAGCTGTATGATACACAGATGTATGATACACAGCTGTATGATACACAGATGTATGATACACAGCTGTATGATACACAGATGTATGATACACAGATGTATGACACACAGCTGTATGATACACAGATGTATGATACACAGCTGTATGATACACAGATGTATGATACACAGATGTATGACACACAGCTGTATGATACACAGCTGTATGACACACAGCTGTATGATACACAGATGTATGACACACAGCTGTATGATACACAGCCCGAAGCCCGGTCCTTGGGCCGTCGGGCCCCTCGGGCCTAGGGCTCAAGTGCAGGGCTCTAGTCCACACCAGGACAGAGCAGTATCCTCCCCTTTGTTATTCCTCAGCTCTCTGCTTCTACGACTCTCTGAAAGTATCGTCATCATTTATTCTATGCAATATTTTTCAAATGAGACTATTCAAAGTATGTTTTATTTCCCACTTTCTGATTTTAGGGAGAGAGGGATCCTTCCACAAACTCAAATCTATCCGTGCCGCCGTTATTACCCACATCTGTGTACTTGTGTTTATTTACTTCAGAAAGGACTGATTTATCTCCCATTAAACAGTCGAGGGGACATTGGTGTGATCGACCCATGCACCGGAGTGGTCTCGAACCCAGGAGGGGAATACAGAGGCCTTTCATACTG